TTCAATGTATATCATTATAATTTTTCATTTTTCTTAATTTTAATATTTTATCAAATATATCTAAAATATCTTTTCAAAATGTATTCAACTTAACCTATAATCTGTTTTGAAAGCATATAATTTGTTGTTGAAGTGTTAACTCTTTCCCTTAGTTTATCATTTTAGTAAATATACTATTTGATTATGATTGCTCACTAGGTGCCTTCTTTTACTCAATGGACCACTGAAGTGAATAATCACATGTATTCACATTCACCACTAGTACTCAACCTCATTATTCCACTCTCATCCTAATAATTTGTCTACATCAGTCCCATTTCACTCCCTGACTTTAATTCACAGACCCTATTTGGGTTGTCATACTAACGTTCCTATTCAATTTCTGAATTTACACAGGCAAAACACCATAGCATGATAAAACTAATCTAATGGATGCAGATCCTTAAAATTACTTGTCATAAAGAAATATGTATGAAGTCAGTATTATGAAACAATGATATTTCATGTTTTAAATTTTGGCATTTTAGCTGGGTGTAGTGGTTCACACCTGTAATCTCTGCTACTTGGGAGACAAAGGTAGGAAGGTCACAAGTTTGAGGACAGCCTGGGCAAAATAGTGAGACCCTGCCTCAAAATAAGATAAAAAGGACTAGGGATGTAGCACAGCAGTAGAGTACCCTTGGGTCGAATCCCCAGTACTCCCCCACTACACACACACACACACACATATTTTCAAGTAGCTCCAACTACCATGATGTATTCAGTGGCTTAATGAAGTGGGTTTTTTTTCTCAGTGGTCGACAGGAAAAGACACATAGCTCCTTTGGCATACAAAATTGTGTTCTGGATGTATACAACTATTTTGAATCACCAATCAGTATTTACGTGAGGTTGATTTTAGAGTAGTTTTTATTTTCTTGGTTTCCTGTACAGTAAGCTCATTCATAAGATCATTCTAATTGTCATAAGTTTTTTTTTTCTAATTTTCCTGAATAACAACACATACTAATCCTTATGAGAGGACTTATCCTACATTCTGTCCCTGTTGATGCTTAGGGGAGCTCTGGATGTGAAATTGTTCTGTTCTTACCTGCACTACTCTCGTATCCTGCCCTGCCCCCACTTTGCCCCCAAGCAAGTACAGACAGTCCTGTCAAAAGGAAATAATCCATGTGGGTGTTTCTCCCCAAAGGGCCTTATCCCTCTACTCTGGGGCTCAAGAGAAGGTTTTTTTGTTGTAATTAGCGGTGCTGGAGAACACCAGGCCCCATGCACTCTAGGCAGGCACTCTACCACTAAGCTATACCCCCAGACCACAAGAAAAGTTTTGATTTTTATAGTGTGCCCAGCTTTTGACTTATTGTTTGGCTAGGCCTGACATTCTTTAAAGGTGTTTGCATACATTAAAAGAATTATTCATCATTTTATTGAGAAATTCAAATGGAACATTTAATAAAAATGATGAAATATTGGGCATTAATGAAAACAATAATAAATTTCTTTGGATTGAAATCCCACAGTATGCTCTTTCTCCATATCTGTAGTAGGCTAGAAATAAATTTTAGAAACAAAAGCAGTTAGAAAATCACCAACATTGTTGAAATTCAACAATACACATGGACAAGTGAAACAAAAAGTCAATATTGCCTCATTAATATGTACATGTTTATATTTTATGTTATATTAAAATAATATTTTTAAAAAGTCATTTGTCAAAAAAACAGTGGAAATTAAAATAATTTATCATTAAAATTAATATGAACATTCAAATCACTTGAGGAAACGACTTAGTTCTATAAATGATAGACCATAGTCCTTTTATTTGATGCAAAGGGCAATGGAAATATCCCACTTCCAGGTCTAAATGCATACTTTAAATTTCTAAAGTTTATTTTTTAAATATGTTAACAGTGTTAAAATTATATCTTAATTGGGCTCATAGTTTTTAAATTTTTTTTTAGTTATACATGGACACAATATCTTTATTTTGTTTATTTATTTTCATGTTGTGCTGAGGATAGAACCCAGTGTCTCACATGTGCAAGGCAAGCACTCTGCCACTGAGCCACAACCCCAGCCCTGGACTCATATTTTTAAAAAAAACATGAAAATAAACAAGTAAGGAAACAACAAATAACAAAGAACATAATCACTCTCAATTTCCTCAATCTCCAATCTGCATGTTACAAGAAGGCTGTAATTGGTTCAGCCCTGATCTCTCACCCACACATTGAGACAATGACTGTGCACCTTTAGTTGTGTATTCTTCATTGGCTAGTCCAGTGTAAGGCTTAATCTGTTCTTATTGGAAATTTCATTCATACAAATGATGTATAATTGCATATAATAAAGGTTTATGTTTTTAGCTGGGCCTGGTGGCACACACCTATAATCCCAGTAGCTCAGGAGGCTGAGGCAGGAGGATTGCAAGTTCAAAACCAGACTCAGCAATTTATCAAGGCTCTAAGCAACTTAGTAAGATCTTGTCTCAAAACTAAAAATAATAATTAAGAAAAGGCCTAGGCGGCTGGGGATGTGGCTCAAGAGGTAGCGCGCTCGCATGGTATGCGCGGGGCGCTGGGTTCAATCCTCAATACCACATAAAAATAAAAAATAAAGATATTGTGTCCACCTAAAACTAAAAAATAAATATTAAAAAAAAGAAAAGGGCTAGGGATGTTGCTCAATGACTAAGCACCCCTGGGTTTAATCACTGGTACAAAAAAAAAAGTTTGTGTTTTTAAAATTGACAGATTATCAATAGTAAATAATAGAATTAGATAAATCTCAATAACTGGAAATGGTAATTACAAAGTCCAAAAAGCAGGGAAAAGGAATTGTTTCTGAAAATTTTATTTAACTTTTTTGTACTTCCATTGGGTGCTATAAAAGAATTCTATATAAGGTATGTTTGGAAAAATCAGACTGAAGAGGTATAATGTTTATATCAAGTCTTCACTTTATATGTTGCCATTTCAAATATAATTGCCTTATGGATTATTCCACTGCCTCCTCTAGGGAGAATGAGAATGAAAATGCTAAAGGATATTATTACAAAAACACTTTTTACCTGATTGGTTCTGATATAAAGTGACCCTAAGAATATAACTGGAAGAAATTATTATTTAATAAAGTGATTAAATTCAGACTCATTAAGCAAAATCCATTATTTTCTTTTGAACTAATTGCACCAAGTTTTTTTTAAGAGAGAAAGAGAGAAAGAGAGAGAATTTTTTTAATATTTATTTTTTAGTTTTCGGCGGACACAACATCTTTGTTTATATGTGGTGCTGAGGATCAAACCCGGGCCACACGCATGCCAGGCGAGCACACTACTGCTTGAGCCACATTCCCAGCCCTGCACCAAGTTTTTAAAATAGAAAATCCTAAGTTGTTTCAAATTGAAGCAATATCTTTGTATAACAAACCAAAAACATTAGGCCACAAAGAAAAAACTTAATGGAAATTAGAAAATGTTAAGATAAATATTAACATTCAACTATCTTGGCAAAAGGTGTCATCTTAGTTATATTAATTTCTGCCCAACTTTTTTTTTTTTGGTACCAGAGATTTAACCCAGGGGTGCTTAACCACTGAACCATATCCCCACCCCTTTTAAAAAATATTTTATTTAGAGACAGGGTCTCGCTAAGTTGCTCAGGGCCTCAGTAAGTTGCTGAGGCTGGCTTTGAACTCACCATCTTCCTGCCTCAGCCTCCCAAGTTGCTGGGATTACAAGCTTGTGCCACTGCACCTGACTCCCATCCTCTTAATTTAATGCAAGGGGCAGGAGACATGTTCCCCTCCCAGCTCTAGATTCATGCTTTTAAATCACGACAGTTAAAAACAAGCATCCAGACAGCCATGCGCCTGGAAAAGAATCACTTCCTGTTTCTCCTCAACCTCCAGGCTGAATTTCATGCAGACTCTTACTGCTTTATCCAAGCAACTTGCCTGCACTATGGGCCAATGTCCATGACTTGGAGATGTCAGGTCTCTGGTTGGCGGAGTCAGTTGAGACTGAGATGTGAACTGTTTCCAGTGGATGGTCACAAGATGCAAACATAATTATGCAAGAATGAAGGTTTGGGGGTTAAACATAAGAATGGCACTGGTGCAGTGGCTCAAATCTATAATCCCAGCCACTCAGGAGGCTGAGGCAGGAGAATCCCAAGTGAAAAGCCAGCCTCAGCAACTTAGTAAGGCCCTAAGAAATTTAATGAGACCCTGTATCAAAATAAAACATAAAAAGGGCTAGGGATGTGGCTCAGTGGTTAAGCACCCCTGGGCTCAAAAATAAATAAATAAATAAAAGTAAGAACAGAAGGCTTGATATGTAGGTCCACAGAATAACACTGCATAGTAGAAGAATCTCCCATACTTGTGGAACTCAGTTCAAAACTCCAGTACATTTATATTTATATTTATATTTATATTTATATTTATATATATTAATCCAAATCAGAATAGTAACTTCACACTTTAGACAGCTTGAAACATGCATGAATTCTTGCACAATTGGTTATTTAAGCACATGTCTGTATTTAATCAATTCTGAATATAGGATGTTTTTAAAAGTAATATTGAGGTATGCTTATTTTCTGCTTTTGGGCTTTATCTACTTCCATAGGACACATTAAGTACCTCTAGATAATTCTGCTCCACATTCCTGTGAGAATAAAAGTTAAAAAGATACATTATTACAAAAATAACTATGACCTGACTGAGCCTTACAATGGTTGATCTAGGAGTATGTGACAGAAATGCTCATGTAATAAAGATTTGTTATTATTTTCCTTGGAACATATTTCACCACAGACATATAGTAAAGCAGATGTGATGATGTTTATTGAGAAATGCTTTAAGAATGGGCAGGGCACCCCCTCGCTCACCCCCAGACCTGAGGTGTGCTGCGCTGGCAGCGCTACCGGTCTTTGGGGCCCAGTGATGGCTCTTAAAAGAGCCTTTAGGGTTGGCTGCGGAGGGCTCCCAGAGGCGGCTCACTTGCTGGAATGTGAGCGGCTGACGGCCCTGGTGGCCTCATACACGGCGTGCTTGCCAATCTCCCCGGGCAGCAGGAGGCACACGGCTGTCTGGATGTCTCTGGAGGTGATGGTGGAGCGATGGTTCTGGACGGCCAGGCAGCGGGCCTCGCTGGTGATGCGCTCGAATATGTCCTGGACGAAGGAGTCCAGGACGCTCATGCTAGACCGGGAGAGGCTGAGGCCCGAATGGATGTGCTTCAGCACCCTGGGGAAATAGGTGGCAAAACTGTCCCCACACCTGGAGTGGCTGTGGTGCCTCATGCTCTTGGAGTGGCTGGGGAGCCTGGGCTTTGGTTTGGTGGCCGGGCCGGCCTTCTGAGGCTCTTGGAGATTGAGGGACTCCTCAGAAGAGGTGTCACAGGCTAGCTCTTGGGGATTGAGGGACTGCTTAGAAGAAGAGTCACAGAGTAGTTCAGCCATTGCTGTCCACAGTTGGTGAGGACAGACAATGAGAGTTGCTAGGGGCCGGGAGCCCTTTATATAGGCCACATTGTGTCACGTCATGGGCCAACTCGACATCTCATTGGATGGCCTGCCCTGCAAGGATCCTGTCAGTATGCCTCATGGCACAGTGTGATTGGACAGTCCTCTTGCTTGGCATTCTGCCCCAACCAGAATGGGTGCTCAATACAAAGAGATAGTCCTCCTGCTTGACCAATTACAGAGAACGTCTGTCATTTTAGAATCTTCCTGTTGCCTCCAGCAGCAAGTGAGGAAAATGCCAAAGAGAGCAAAGAGTCATTGAACCACATCAGGTGATTCATGGCACAACATGAACATTTTGAAAAGACATTATGGAAATTTCCTAAAGAGTAGGAATTATAGCTCAGGCTCCTTGAGAGAATCTGTCAGTAGTTTCCCTAGCTCATTTTCCCAGTGAAGTGACTTTAGGCCAGTTTGGTTCATTCTTATTTCAAATCAGAATTTTTTTCCTAGAACAACCCACCTGGTTTGGGCTGCAATTCCCTGACATGGCCCCCACATTGCTCCTGGAAATGGAGTCTTGGCTGTATAACTCTGTCTTCAGATTTGATCAAAACCCTTGGAGAATCATAAAAGTAGAAACAGCCAAACCACAGTCTCCGAACGCAGAACACAAAATGAAATAGGTACACATATATAAATTTATTTTTTCTTAAACTTCTACCAGAGTAAAATTGTTGTCTTAACAAAATTTGGATTCTAAAAATATTCTAAATGCTACTATGGGTGCTCACTTTGGCAGCACATATACTAAAATTGGAACAATACAGAGAAGATTAGCAAGGATGACATGCAAATTTGTGAAGCATTCCATATTTTTTATTGAGGGGAAACAATAATTTATATATAACCTGTAGGAAATGCTTCTCACATTCGGCTGTGCCTAATGAAAGGGAAGGATTAAGTCCTCACTGAAGACACGTAAAAACTAAAGTTCTACTAATTTGAAAGGTGCAATACTATAGTATATAAAGTAGTTCTGACACTATTTTTAAGGGAAAAAATATAGAATTGAATTTCTCTGAATCCTTATGATTGGAGCAAGCCCTTTGTAGCAATACTGCAACAATCATATAGTTGCACCTAATCATAAATTTCTCATCACAACTAACAATCCTAAATAAATGTCAATCAATTATGTTAGTTGAAAGCTTTAATTATAGAAACAATGTTATATAATTGCTTAATATAGAAAGACTCAACAAGTTTAAAGGAATGATAGAAAAGTAATGTTTACAAAGGTATAAGACTTATGAAAATATTATCAACTACTGTTGGAGCATATGATATTTCAAATTGTGTTATAATTGATTTTTTTCTCTTGTTAAAATAAAGTTGTACAGAATTTTTGCTGAAAAAAAAACACGCTACTATGGGAGAATAAGAGCTATTCCAGGCAACTACTGTTAATCTAATCTCTCTAAAACCCTCCTTAGAGAGACAAAGGAAATAGTGAATGGAAAATGGTTTTAAATTGAAGGATATCCTTCAAGAAACTATGATAATACATTCAAAACCTTTCTTAAATATAAGAAAGTAAAACATAAATTACAGAAATTGAACCAAAGAAAGATTTAAGGATTGAAAAGACTTTAAAAATAGAGATTAGTCATGAAATATCACACCAAATGGCCAGGATTCCAATAGTGTTTCCTGACAGACCTGTAAGAATCAAGCAATAACTTTAGAATATGAAGTGATAAAAACATTTTTCCTCAAGAAATAGAATGCGATGAAAAAAACTGTTGAAAGGAGCATGCTAAGAAAATCTGAGCAGTTCATTTTAAACAAATTTTTATAGTAAATCGACACAATACCTTTATTTTATTGTTATGTGGTGCTGAGGATCAAACCCAGTGCCTCACATGTGCTAGGCAAGCACTCTACCAACTAAGCTACAGCCCCAGCCATGAGCAGTTCCTTTTTTTTTTGAGAGAGAGAGAGAGAGAGAGAGAGAGAGAGAGAGAGAGAGAGAGAGAATGAATATATCTTTTTTTGTAGATGGACACAACACACGCCTTTATTTTTATGTGGTGATGAGAATTGAACCCGGGTCCCACCCGTGCTAGGTGAGCGCTCTACCACTGAGCCACAATCCCAGCCCAAGCAGTTCATTTTTAAACAAGGATACAAAAATCTTTCTTGAAATACCAGCAATAAAATATGGTATCATATAACATTAAACAAAACAAAATAATGAAATAATTTACTGCCATACATAATTAAAATTATCAAATCAAAGAAAACATTATTAATGGAACTAACATGCTTCATTTCTTCTTTTATAACATGATCACTATTATGAAATTCATTTAAATAAAGAACCAAACACAGTGGAGAAATAGCTACATGAAGAAAGAAAATAAAGGAACTGAGGATGTAGTTCAGTGGTAGAGCACCTGCCTAGCCTGAATTAGGCCCTGGGTTTGTGTCCCAGATAGGAAAGAGAGAGTGAAGTAGGAGAAAGAGAAGGAGAGAAGGAAAAAAGAGGAAAGGAAATGAAAAGTAAAATGAAAAAGAAAACAGCTCTCTCCTCCAGCCGACCAAGATGCTGAAGGGAAAGAAAGCCAAGGGGAAGAAGGTGGCCCCGGGCCCCCGCTGTGGTCAAGAAGCAGGAGGCTAAGAAGGTAGTGAACCCGCTCTTCAAGAAGAGGCGGAAGAACTTCGGCATCTGGCAGGACATCCAGCCCAAAAGTTACCTTACCAGCTCTGTAACATGGCCCCGCTACATCCTACATCCGGCTGCAGCGGCAAAGGGCTATTCTCTATAAGCTGAAAGTGCCTCCTGCGATTAACCAGTTCACCCAGGCCTTGGACCGCCAAACAGACACCCAGCTGCTTAAATACTGTCACCACCTTGGTGGAGAACAAGAAGGCTCAGCTGGTGGTGATCGCACTTGACCTGGATCCCATCGAGCTGGTTGTCTTCCTGCCTGCCCTGTGTCGCAAGATGGGAGTCCCTTACTGCATCATCAAGGGGAAGGTTAGGCTGGGACATCTGGTTCACAGGAAGACTTGAATCACTGTTGCCTTCACACAGGTTAACTCGGAAGACAAAGGAGCTCTGGCTAAGTTGGTGGAAGCTATCAGAACCAACTACAATGACAGATATGATGAGATCCGTCGCCACTGGGGAGGCAACGTCCTGGGTCCAAAATCTGTGGCTCGCATTGCCAAGCTGGAAAAGGCAAAAGCTAGAGCACTTGCCACTAAACTGGGATAAATGTATGCTGTTGCATTTCTATACATAAAAGTAAAAGTAATAAGTTGTCCTTCATCCAGTGTCTTGGGCTGAAGGCAATGAACTTGTTTCAGGCAGTAGCAAGGGCATGCCCCATAGTATGAGAGCTTTAGAAACTCATTGTGTAACTTGCATGAAAAGGCTGTATACAGCAGTAAAATGTTCAGAAACCAAAGAAAAAAAAAGAAAAAAAGAAAAAGAAAACAAATGACAAAAAGAAAAAAAAGGAGTAAGTACACTGAGTGTTCCTGGCTATCCCTCTAATACCTCTAGTTCCCATCAAACCCCCTGGGAACTAAGAAAAGGAGAAATTACAAAACTTCAATTTTCAAATGGTGAACACAAAGAGAAGAAGGCTATTTTTACATAGATACAAGTTCCTTCAGCATTTTCCAAGTCCGAATTGTAATTTTAACAATACTTAATCCTTAAAAATAAGACCCCCCCACATACTAGCACTGGTGAATACCTATAAGAAGTCCTAACTGAAATTAAATATGACACTAATTCTGTAATAAACCACCAGAGGGAGAGAAAGCTATTCTAATCTCAGTAACTTGAGTCTACTATTTACAGGTGTAGTTTCGCTACCAATTTCCTCTAATCCTGAAGCATGACCACGTGAACCTCACCATTGCCTTGATAATTGTGAGTGTCATGGATTCATTCCAGCCACCTGGCCCACAAGAATAAGCACATGACCATTACCTCCAGAGAAAATTAGACAGCAGTGTAGTTCCTGCTGCCTGGGGAGATCGGCAAGTATGCCATGACCAAGGACACCAGGGCTGTCATCAGGTTGTCATGTGTTTCACCCGCCACCAGTGAGCTGCATCTGGATGCCCTGAGCAGAACCCAAAGGATATTTTCAGAGACACCACTTGTCCTAAAAGACCTGTAGCACTGCCAACACCAGACCGCTCCAGTCTGGGGGCAGAGTACATCTTGCTGATTCTCTTAGTACTACTAGTAATAGTAGAACTAGAAGAAGTAGTAGTAGTTAATGTCCAAATTAATAGGATTTGCTGTGATATTTCCATCCATACAGCTATCATTCATTGATCTTAGCTATCTTTTCTTCTTCTACCCTCTCTACTGTCTGCCCTTTTTGTCCCCTCTCCTGATCCTCTTCCCAGTACTTTCCCTCTTCCTCTTCCACTTTTAGGTCTTTTTTTTTTTTTCTAGTTTCCACGTATAAGAGAAAATATAGATTACTTGTCATACTGTGTCTGGTTTATTTCCTTCACATGACATCTTCCAGTTTCATCCATTTTCCCACAAAAGATATTGTTTCAGGGGCTGGAGTTGTGGCTCAGTGGCAGAGAGCACTTGCCTGGCATGTATGAGGCACTGGGTTTGATCCTCAACACCATAAATAAATAAATGTACATCAACAACTAAAAAAACTTTTTAAAAGATATCACTTCATTCTCTATGGCTGAATAAATCTCTATAGTGTGTATATGCCATATTTTCTTTATACATCCATCCGTTGATTAACACATAGACTAATTATATATCTTGAATATTATGAATAGTGCTGCATAAACATGGATATGAAGGCATTTTCACCATTCAGGGAGTTAAGGAGATCTCCAGAGATGGAGGAGACCTCTACTCAAACTTTTACAGGTTCTTGACCACATGGCAGAAAATAATTTAGGACATTTCATGTTATAGCACAAGTGGAAGTGCTTTATTTTCAAACCAAATTCAACACTCGGCTAAGTGCAGACACATTCAAAGCCTGAGTGGCCTTATAGATGGGTTGTGTTTTATATTGGCTAGAAGAATTAATATTCGTAAGCACGACTTGACTATTGTTTGAGGGTCCCTGGATTTGGGAGGTCCGTCATAGAATCCAACTCAACTTCATTAGCATCTAAATTTTCAGCTAAGGGGTGTGTGAGTACCTACAGTAACCAGCCTTAATACACAAAGAGGTAAAATAGAAGTCAGGTTGCTTCTTGATATGCCTGCACAAGAAATCACTCACAGCTGGCTCAAACATATGGCCACTCTGTGGTTAGATAGAATGTTTCTTGTGTAGTCATAGGCCAGCAGGATATCTGTGATTAAACAGGAGGCCTGGTGTCACTGGGATCCATGCTTGATGCTAGTATAACACTCACCTAATCCCACATATCTTTAGTTAAACAGGAGGCTTAATGCCAGCAGGATCCCTGCAGTTAAGCAGTTTCCTGTCAAGTAAGTCCAGCTCATACTATCTATAAAGACTGTCCATCTGCACTTACTCCTCCTGTTCGCTGTCTCAGCATCCCTTTTGTATGCTGACTTCATTTATTTCAGATATACACTTAGGAGTGAGACAGTTGGAACATATGTTAGTTCTATTAGTTTTTTGAAGAACTTCCATATTGTTTTCCATAGTGGTTATAATAATTTATATTCCTGCTGGTTTAGTCAGCTTTTTCACTGTTGTAACCAAAAGATCTGGTAAGAACAATTTTAAAAGGAAAAGGTTATTTGGGAGCTTACACAGTTTCAGAAGTCTTAGTCCATAAATAGCCGACTCCATTCCTAGGGACATGAGGTGAGGCAGAACATCACAGGAGAAGTGTGTGGAAGAGAAAAACAGCTGGGAACACGGCACGGGCGGGGGTGGGGGGGGCTCTCTCCTCACCACTGACAAAACATAAACCCCAAAGGTATTCCCTCAATAACCCACCTCCTCCAGCCACACCCTACCTGTCTAAAGTTAATCCCAATCAATTGGGTTAATTCACTGATTGAGTTAAGGTTCTCATAACCCAATCATTTCACCTCTAAATTTCCTTGCATTGACTCACATCTGAGTTTTTTGGGGACACCTAATATCTAAACCATAACACCCACCAACAGTATATAGGGTTGTTTTTTCTCCACATCCTCTTCAGGATCAATTATTTTTTATTTTTTTTATGATAGCCATCCCAATCAGGGTGAGTTGGAATCTCATGGTTTTGATGTGCATTTCCCTAAGGGCTAGATATAGTCTTCATATATGTGTTGGCCATTTATGCATTTCTTATTTTGAGAAGCATCTGTTCAGACAAAATGAAATTTGCCTACTTTTAATTGGATTGCTTGTATTTTTGGTGTTAAGTGTTTTGAGTTCTTTGTATATTCAGGATATTAATCCTCTGCTAGATGTATCACTGGCATTGATTTTCTCACACTCTGTAGGCTTTCTCTTCACTCTGTTCATTGTTTCCTTGACTATGCAGAAGCTTTTAAATTTGATGAAATCCCATTTATAAATTCTTGCTTTTGTTTCCTGTACTTTAGGAGTCCTGGCCAGGAAATCATTGTCTGGAGGCCAACATCTTGAAGTGTGTCCCCAATGTTTTCCTCTAGTTTTTATATCAAGATATTTGGTTGCTTTTCATTCGATTTTTGTACAAGTTAAGAGATAGGGTCAAGTTTCAATCTTCTACATGTACAGCTCCAGGTTTCCCAGCACCATTTATGGAAGTGACTGTGTTTCTCCTAATGGATATTTTGGCAATTTTGTAAAAAAAAAAAAAAAAATCAGTTCTTTGAAGATTCATGTTTTTATTTCTTAATCCTCTATTCTGTTCCCTTACATCTATGAGTCTATTTTTATGCCAATACCATGGTGTTTTGTTTTCTTGGCTTTGTAGTATGCCCTGAAATCATGTATTGTGATGCTTCCACCTTTGCTGTTTTGGCTCAGGTTGTTTTGACAATTTGGGGCCTTTTGTGCTTCCATATATATTTTAGAATTTTTTTTCTAATTCTGTGAATAATGTCATTGGTATTTTGATAGAAAATGCATTCAATCTGTAGATTGCTTCAGGTAATATGGACATTTTAAGAATATTAATTATCCTAATCCACAGACACAGGAGGTCTTTCAACGTTTTTAGTGTCTTCTTCAATTTCTATCTTCAGTGTTTTTAAAATTCATTGTAGAAGAATTTTCATCCTCCCCCAGGTGTTTTTAAGGTTATTGTGAATGAAATTGTTTTCCTGAGTTCTCTCTCAGCAGATTCATTATTGGAGTATTGAAAACCTACTGATTTTTATGTTGTTTTTGTAGCCTGTTATTTTGCTGAATTTGTCATCTCCAGAAGTCTTCTGATGGAGTATTCTGGTTCTTGAAGTCCTAGGATCATCTTATTAACAAACAGAAAATTTGATTTCGTCTTTTCCTATTGGTATCCCTTTAATTTATTTCTCATACCTAATTGCTCTAGCTATAATTTCAAGAACTATATTTAATAAAAATGGTGAGAGTAGATATCTTTTTATGGTTCCTGATTATAGAGGAAATTCTTTCAATTTTTCTGTGCTCAATATAATGTTGGTTTTGGTTTTGTCGAGTATAAGTCTTCATGATGTAGAGGTAAATTCCTCCTCTCCCTAGTATCTCTAGTATTTTCAACATGAATGACTACTGGATTTTGTGAAAGGGCTTTTCTGCATCTATTGAAGTTATCATGTAATTTTGTCCTTAATTCTATTTATGTGATGAATTACACTGATTTGTATATATTGAACAATGTTGCATCCCTTGAATACTGTACAATCTCTTTAATGTGTTTTGTTTGTTTGTTTTTTGGTACTGGGGATAGAACTCAGGGACACTCAACCACCACTGAGCCACATCCCCCAGCCCCTTTTTGTATTTTATTTAGAGACAGGGTCTCACTGAGTTGCTTAGTGACTCATTTTTGCTGAGGCTCGCTTTGAATTTACAATCTTCCTGCCTCAGCCTCCTGAGCTGCTGGGATTACAGGCATGCCCAGGTCCTTAATGTGTTTTTGTATATGGATTGCTAATATTTTATTAAGAGTTTTTGTGTCTATGTTCATCAGGGATATTGGTCTGTAGCTTTCTTTCTTTGATGTGTCTTTATCTGGTTTTGGTATCAGGTTGATTCAGACTTTGTTAAATGAAATTGGGAGTGTTCCCTCCTGTATATTTCACAGAATAATTTGAAGACTGGCATTAATTATTCTCAAAAAGTCTGGTATAAGTCAGCTGAGAATTCATCTGATCCTGGGCTTTTCTTTGGTGGGAGGCTTTTATTACCATTTCAACCTCAGTTCTTGATTGCCGCAGTCTGGCTGGGCACAATCAGAAGCCACTTGTCAAAAGAAACTAACTTTATTTTTAGAAACAAACACGCCAAACAAAACAGCCTCTCAGGAAAAACCCTCAGAGCCTCAACTGCCACCACCGGCTTTCCACAAGCCTGTCTCTCCCCCACAAGCTTCTCTCCACCTCCCCCAATCCTCCTGCTCTTGAGGCCGATTGGCTGGGTCACGTGGGTGGAGCCAAAAAAGTCCCCCAATGAGCAGCTCCGTGGTCTGAAAGGGCAGGGAAACAGTCCAATGAGCATCACCGCAGAGGAGCCAATCAGCTAGATGTTGCTGGGGCCGAGGAGCCAATCAGCTAGATGTTGCTGGGGCCGCTGTGAGCCAATCATCAGCCAGCAGCTGGTGCTGGCAGCTGGAAGTTTGCTGGGGCCCCTTCGGCTGTGGCTCTCAACATCTCCCCCTCTCTGTTTAAACAACAAGCATGTGGCTTAGGGACCGTGTCTGTTAGGCAGTCCAATTCAACATATGGTCCTTACCTGTCATCGGATGAACTGACCTCTAGGCATCAGCCTCCTGTCTTAGGTTGGTACCACTGCAATTGGATCATACCCGTCACTGACTACCGGTCCAGCATACAGCTATACTTGTGGATAGGCCTTTGAACCAGTGGGGGGTGAGGTTCTTTGCCTCACCTCTGTTGGCCCCCAAATTTTAGACCATCACTAGTAGAGGAGGATGCAAAATGCCATGACATTAAGCCAATTGAGGGCTCCTTTGAAAAATTGTACCACCGGTGACATCATCAGCAAAAATACCCCAACACTACCACAAGTCGCTGCACCAACAGATAGTTCACAATGCATACAGGTGAGCTCACAATGTGTCCAGGCAAGTTCTGCAAGCAGTTCAGTGATGGCTATTGTAGAAGCTGTAGATTGGTTTTATCTTTGACTTCACCAGCACTGGGATGAAGATAGGAATTCTAGCAATAATGGCTAAAGAAAAAATTATGTAACAATTTTCTTAACAATTTACATTGTCTTCACTGGCACTGGGATGAAGATAGGAATTCTGGCAATAATGGCTAAAGAAAAAATTATGTAACATTACAGAAGGCACTAAAAGAAAACAATTTTCTTAACAATTTACATTATCTTTAAGAGAATTATTAAATATAATGAAAAGGAAAGGTGAAAGTAAACAAA